TATATATATATATATATATATATATATATATATATATATATACATACATATATATATATATATATATATACAAACCTGAGGTGTGAGATAGCGTAAATAACGGTGATATTGAGTACAGCCAGGGCCTGCATGCTGGAGGAGAGGTTGGGGGTGAGGGCGGAGGCGACGAAGCCCTCGGGGCCCTCTTTGGTGACGAGAGAAAAAGAAGAAGAAAAAGAAAAAGAAATAGCTACTTGAATCAGGTGTATAGACAGCTGCTGATAAAAATACCACCAAAAATAACGATCCGTAAAACCAGATACAAACCAACCAGCTGTCAACGGACACCTACACACACATAACAACAATACATACACACACCATGCATGCATGCATGCATGCATGCATAAGTGCTGCATGCATGCACAGGTGATGCATGCATACGTACTGCATGCAAGCATGCATGCAGGCATGCATGCATGCTGCATGAATGCATGCTTGCTGCATGCATGCACAGATGATGCATGGATGCGTACTGCATGCATGCACACTGCATGCATGCATACTGCATGCATGCATGCACACTGCATGCATGCACACTGCATGCATGCACCTTTGATGCCTGGACACTGCAGATGAACGCATGCAGTGTGCAGTGTGGATGCAAATTATATATATTTTTGTTTTTATTTTGTTGTTAGGAGTTGTTGTTTTATATTTTACTATTTGTTGTTTTATATTTTTTTTATTTGCTGTTTCATCGTATAATAAAATATAAAACATAAAATAATAAAAAACAACAAAATAATAAAGTACCAAGCAACAAAATAATAAACTATAAAACAACAAAATAATAAAATAAAAACAACAAAATAACAAAACAAAAAACAACAAAATAAAAAAATAAAAAATAAAAATAAAAAGCAAGATGAAACACATATAGTAAACCTTACTCCTCAACAAAATAATAAAACAAAAACAACAAAATAACAAAAAAAAAATAAAAATAAAAAAATAAAGAATAAAAATAAAAAGCAAATACATATACTAAACCTTACTCCTCAACAAAATAATAGAAAGAAAAACAACAAAATAACAAAACAAAAAAACAAAAAAAAATAAAAAAAATAAAAATAAAAAGCAAGACAAAATACATATACTAAACCTTACTCCTCACCAAAATAACAAAACAAAAAAAAATAACAAAACAAAAAAAAAACAAAATAAAAACAAAAAATAAAAATAAAGAGCAAGATGAAATATATATATA